TCAACAAAACAAGTTTGTAAAAGTATTTTGCTATAAACTTGCATTTCTTTCATTGTATAACGTAAAATTAGCCAAATTAAAAACAAATTAGAAAACAATCCAAATGTAGCAAAACAATAAATTATTGTTGAATATATTCCTCCTATTAACATTTTTCTTCTTGAAAGGAAGAAGAGAATGTTTTTGTTTGGGACAAATTTAATTTATTTGGTAGACAAACATTGTTGAATTAACTTAATTTGTTTTTACAGCATGTTTTAATGTTTTTATTTTAAAAAAATGTTTGGGAAAAACATGTTTTTAGTAAATGTTTTTGCGGTCGTAAACATGTTTTAATGTTCACACTTAAAAACAAACATGTTTGTAAGAACGAAAATATGTTTTCAAACAAAAGCGTTATTAAACTTATTTATCATAAATTTATGTTAACTGTTTTACATTTTGTAAAACATACTCTAATTATTTCAAAAATGTTTTTGAAAAGGTATAAAATAATTCAGAGAGTTTTTTCTTTGCTTATGAATTTTAATAGTACAAATTAATTTCTTTTATTTGTGTAAAATATTTATAAAAAATTATCCCACCCTTTGAAATTTAATAATTAATTAGAAAATTATTTTTACTTAAGTTAAACATTTATTTTAAACATTAATAATTTTCCCATCAAAACTGTACGAAAATGTTTGTTTTATCTTGTTTTTCGTGGAATTTTTTAAAGACTTTCGAGCATAAAAACGCCTGATATTTTTGGATAGGGAGTTAGTAATAATCTAAATATCTCCAACTAATCCTTATTAATATATCCCTCTTAGTTCACACAATCCCTCTTAATCCCTCCAACTCCCCCTTAACTTTTACTACTAAATCGGGGATGTAAGTAGAGGATTTGGAGGAATCAAGGAGGTTATCAGAGGATTTGGAGGCAAACATTCGAGAATTTTATTAGTAAATATTTAATGCATTTCGAGAAGCATCATTTCCTAGTCAAAAATTTATTTTCAATTTTCTTTTTGGTTTCGTTGAGAAGAAATTTTATTTTCGTGCAGCTCTGATTCTCATGTACCAAACAAATTTTCTTACAGTAAGAAAATTAAAACAAATTTTTTTTTAATTTTTTGCTAAAATAATTGTTAAATTAATTATAATATTTTTTTTATTTTATTTAAATTTTTATTTTTCAATGTTTTTTTTAGTTTTATGCAAAAAGCTGTGTTGTTTTATGAAGGTTTTAATTATGCTACTATTGGCGTTGTAAAAATTACAATTAAAAATTACAATTGTAACTAAACAGATTAATTTAAGACGATAAAGCGCCCCCATGTATTTACAATTATATCAGTTCATCATAGAGTATTGTAAAGCATACATATAGCTATTTAATTCCTAAGGCTATGCAGTAGGCGGCGTGGTGTAGTCCGGTCTACTGAACTGTCTACTGGTGCAGTCCGGTCTACTGAAGATGCTGGTTCGCTCCCAGCTGCCTAATAACCTTTTCCACTAGCTAAAGGAGAGAAATAGCTATAGCAAAGCTGCTTTGCTTTATTAACTAAATTTACGAGGCTAATGCTAAAATAAAGAAATCGGGTGATGGCACCATCAACAAATTCATTAAGCTAAAAAACATTAAGCTAAAGAAACTTTTAGTATTTTCTTTGTTTTCCGGTATATTTTTTAATTTTATTTTTTTAAATAATTACAAAACATTTATTTTTCAAAAATTTTATTCTAATTTCATTCTAAACTCAAAGATCTATTTAATATATTGTATAGTTCTATCCGGCATTGAAGTTTCTGGCATTGGAGCAACTTGATTAATATTTGAATTATTTTTGCATCGAAAAATTATTTGTCTGTAATTTCTTACACTCAAAATTGTTACCTTTTAAATTTATTATTTTTAATTAAAAAAATAATAAATAAACTCACAATAGGATTTAAAACAGCAACTAAAGATGCCAAACTACAATTAAAGAATATTGCAATAGATGATGAATAGAATCCAGGCAAATTAAATAAAAAATGTAGATTATTAGATAAGGTAGTGAGATAAGATAATATAGGTAGAATTGCCTATAAATAATAAAATAAAGGAATTATTTAGAGATGTCCAAGACATCTCTCGGTCACCTAAAACTTCTGTAAATTTTCGATCTTGGATGTCAAAAGAAATAATCAGAAGTCTCCGAAAAAGTAAGGGTCAATTTTCCAATTTTATCAGGTCAATTTTTCTAATCACATAAATTGATTTCATCATAGGCTTAGACTTATATTTTTATACTCATCCGAAACTTATAACTCTTTAAATTTTAAAACTTTTTAGGCGTCCAAAATAACACATTATTTACCTGTGCCCCCAAAACAATACTCATTTGTTTATTCATATTACGTAATTGAGTCATTTGTACACCTTTACAATGACGATAAACATGTATTTGAATACTTATTCCACAAAAAATAATTATTATATAATTAATTATTGTTAATACTGAAGCATAATTTGCAGTAAAAATTGATAGGTCGCTAGTCTGAAAATTAAAAAAAAAAATTTTCAAGTGATTTGGATCAAATTTTATTGCGACAGGTTTTCCAAGACTTCATTTTCGGTCGATTTATATGATTGGAAAAAAGATTTATTATTTTGTCATTGCTTATTTTGTGCTTCAGAAAGTGTAGTTATGAAATTCAAATAAGCGAAGGGATCATTTGAATCCCCAAATCATTTGAATCCCCATCGCACATAGAAAAATCCCAAAAAAAATATTTGTCCCGTTTTGCCCTTGTACTGAATTGGGTCATGAATTTGGAATTTCGCTAAATGCATAACCTACTCTTGATCTCATTCCAACAACATAATTTTCAATTGTGTAATTATCCAATTCTAATGTTTTTGCCAACTCAAGATTTGTTAAATGCTCATATTCTGGTGTTGGATAGTTTGAAATACAAGAAAAAATATATAATATAAATATTGGAATTATCATTCCAATAATTAGTTTTAACTGGTGTTTGAATTTAACATCAAGACCACTACATAAAAGTTTTATTTAATAAATTATTTGAAGGGTTACCGTACAACAGCAAAATAACGATAAATAAATAATGTAGAGACGTTCATTGAAGTAACTCTCATCATAAAATTATTGAAAATTAAAATTACAAATTGCCAAGGATTTGGTAAGTAATGTATAGGTCCGTAATTCCAAGTTGTGCCGACACCATTATCAGACACATAAACCTATTTTTCGATGAAAAAATTACTTTCTCACGCCAAAACATTCCCGCGCCCAAATATTTAATTATTTACCGGTTGAGAAACAACAAACATACAAATCCCAACAATATCAACAAAACAAGTTTGTAAAAGTATTTTGCTATAAACTTGCATTTCTTTCATTGTATAACGTAAAATTAGGCAAATTAAAAACAAATTAGAAAACAATCCAAATGTAGCAAAACAATAAATTATTGTTGAATAGATTTCTCCTATTAACATTTTTAGGTATTTTCTTCTTAAAACAATATATTATATACAGAGTGTCAAATTAAGATAATAGGATCAGATAAAATTTAAATGAAAAGAAATAAATAAGGAACAAATTCAATCAAGAATTATCGAAGTTCCCTTCCCCTTGCTTCTATACTGAGTTGAAGACATGTGGAATAATTTTGGGTAATAGTTCGCACTTCCTTGAGTGACCAACCTTACAAATCTATAGCTTTATTCAGCAGAGGCTGACTCCTGCTGAAAATTCTAGTCCTTAAGCCAGAAGAGGCCTCGAAGGTTCATTAAACTTATAACAATTATGAGAGCCGAGACATTTTATTAACTAACATTATTTGTAATTTTTTATACCAAACACAACTTTATTTAATTCTAAGAAAATTAAAATGAGAAAAGATTTTTAGTTAATTATCCCACACTTTTTTAACTTTAAACATGTTTACATTAATTTATTTTATACTCATTTTAAACTTTTATATTTTATTAATATTCTCATGAAAAGTCCAATTTCGTTAAATACAGTATTAGTGTTATATAAACAATTTTTCTTCATGTCCCCTGACGTCAAACAATTCTCTATAATGGCAGGGGCATATTTGGCGCAAGTTGAGGAGTATCTTGTAACCTTACAAAAATTTCTCGACTTTATACGTTTCTATATTACAAAATATTTAAATTTCAAAAATTTTATTCAAATTATATTTTAAAACAAAATATAATAATTATTTAATATATTGTATAGTTCTTTCCGGCATTGAAGTTTCTGGCATTGGAGCAACTTGATTAATATTTGAATTATTTTTGCATCGAAAAATTATTTGTCTGTAATTTCTTACACTCAAAATTGTTACCTTTTAAATTTATTTTTTAAAGTTTAAAAAAAAATAAGTTAGCTCACAATAGGATTTAAAACTGTAACTAAAGATCCCAAACTAGAAGTGAAGAATATCATAATAGACGAAGAATATAACCCAGGCAAATTAAATAAAAAATTTAAATTGGCAAATAGATTGGAAATATATGTTATTAAAGGTAGAACAGCCTATAAATTTAAAAATTACAGAGAAGGGATTCTGGGGCGTTATTCTAAAAACTTCGTAGAATTACCTGTTAGTTACCGTTTTTTCTCTAAATTTCAATTTAATACCTACTTTTAAACATTACCTACTTGTTCTATGTAGTTGTATTTTTATTTAAAGTTTGGGGATTCTTGTGAATCTTTTAATATCAAGATCCGATATCCTAAGGGAACTTTATCAAAGCTGGGGATGTAATCTGGTCTATCTGATCTCTTTTTTAGTGCCTTAAAAACAAATTATTATTTTACAATTTGAGTAATATTAGGGTGGTCCATTGGTGTTGTTGGATGTTGGAAAGAATTCGTAGAAAAACGGGGTTAAAAACGAGGCATTAGAAGTATTCGCTTCAAATTCGACTTCAGAGAGGGGTCGGGAGACGCTCTAGAATGGTGAGAGGGTCGCTCTAGTGAAGACGGTCGTTAAGATAGGGGAATCGGAATTCCGACCCGCCTCTGATGTACATATAGCTTTACCTGTGCCCCCAAAACAATACTCATTTGTTTATTCACATTACGTAATTGAGTCATTTGTACACCTTTACAATGACGATAAACATGTATTTGAATACTTATTCCACAAAAAATAATTATTATATAATTAATTATTGTTAATGCTGAAGCATAATTTGCAGTAAAAATTGATAGGTCGTTGGTCTAGAATTTTTATAAAATAATTTTAAGAATTTTAACTCAATCTTACTCTTGTTCTTTGTCCAACAACATAATTTTCAATTGTATAATTATCCAATCCTAACAATTTTGCCAACTCAAGATTTGTTAAATGTTCAATTTCTGGCGTTGGATAATTTGATATAAAGGAACAAACATTTAAAATTAGTAACGGAATTATCATAGAAAAAATTAACAATAATTGGTGTTTAAATTTAATTTCAACTTTGCTAAATAAAAAGTTTTATTTTAGAAATTATCCTGTATTTACCGAACAACTACTAAATAGCGATAAATAAATAATGAAGTAACATTCATTGAGCTAAATCTTGCCATAAAATTGTTAATACGGAAAACAATATATTGCCATGGATGTGGTAAGTAATGTATAGGTCCGTAATTCCAAATTGTGCCAACACCATTATCAGAAATATAAACCTATTTTTAATAAGCTGAATTAATTTTAATTAAAAATAAATGCCCCTCATAAACACAGAAATTTAACAAAGTTATAGTGAATCACGCCAAAACATTCCCGCGCCCAAACTTCAAATATTTACCGGTTGAGAAACAACAAACATACAAATCCCAACAATATCAACAAAACAAGTTTGTAAAAGTATTTTGCTATAAACTTGCATTTCTTTCATTGTATAACGTAAAATTAGCCAAATTAAAAACAAATTAGAAAACAATCCAAATGTAGCAAAACAATAAATTATTGTTGAATATATTTCTCCTATTAACATTTTTCTTCTTGAAAGGAAGAAGAGAATGTTTTTGTTTGGGACAAATTTAGTTTATTTGGTTGACAAACATTGTTTAATTAACTTATAATTTGTTTTTACAATATGTTTGAAATGTTATTTTTTAGGGAAAAATGTTTTAGATTTCCAAAACATTTTTGTTGCTTAGAAAAAATGTTTATTGAAAATTTGTTCGTAAGACATGTTTTAGAGAAATTACCTACCTATATTTGTTAAAGTTTTTCATAATAGTTAGGTAACTTAGTGTAATGAGTTCAAATTATTTATTTCGAATCTCGGATCCAAATTGAACAAAAAACGTGTCAATTTTTTAATTTCTAAATTGAATTCGCTTTGACGAATTTCAGTTTCGGCTTCGAAAAAACTTAACCGGTTTCGGGATTTCAAAATTTTTGTGATTTTTATCTCGGATCGGGACTACCGGATCCCGAAAATCCGGTTCAAAATCTGGTCCGGTTCGAACTCCAGTTTTTAGGTTTGTTAAACATTTTATTAATATATATTTACTAGAGGTCGGCAAAATCGTGTTTGCGGGAACCCGCATGCGGGATTTTTTTTAAAAATCTTTGCGGGGCGGGATCCCGCGGGAAAAATCCCGCAAAATCCCGCATCCCGCAAAATCCCGCAATTTAAATTTGCGGGATCCCGCGCGGGATTGCGGGATTTTTCAAAAATCGTTGAAATTATCAATATCTATTGAAAAAATCAATTTCCTAATCATTAACGAGTTCTTATCGGGTTCTTAACTTTATCGTACTTCGTATCAAATTATGAGTACAAGTTGGTACAAACGATCAGCACTTATACCGGGTCCCCAATTATCAAAAATATCATAAGGGGCAAGCTCATACATATTCGTCGGAAAATTCGAGTATACAAATTAGAATAGCTTGAGCTGAAAAAAATCTTGATTAACAATTTAGACAATTTTGTTTCGATGTAATAAAGATGATTCCATGGGCGGCAGGTAAAAATTTTGGAAGGCCAAGTATTCATATTCCTTCCTTTTTCTGCGCCGCAGGTAAAAATTTCGAGATTTTAGGAAGGCCAGCGAGCCAAAATTCTTGTTTTTCTAGCGCCGCAGGCGAAAATTTTTTTAGTTTATAAGGTTAGGAGTAAAAATTCTCCATTTTCCAAAATCTCGCAAAATTCAAAAAATTTTGCGGGAAAAATTTGCGGGATTTTTTAAAAAAATCTTTGCGGGACGGGATCCCGCGGGAAAAACCCCGCAAAATCCCGCATCCCGCAAAATCCCGCAAATCGAAAAAAGTGCGGGATTGCGGGAGCGGGACCCCGCAAAATCCCGCGCGGGATCCCGTCCCGCGCCGACCTCTAATATTTACAAGCTATGACAAATTTTAGACTTGTCAATTATTAAAATAAAAACTTTTCGTCAAACTTTTATAAAACAGTCAACCTATACGTGTGCCAATTAATTCGAAAAATTTTTAAATAATTTATATTTAAGCTCATAATTTATTTATTTAATTATTGTTTACAATTAACTTTAAAAAAATTCTTTTTTCTCGACTGATTAATTGCCAGGTGTAAAGTTTTTTAATAAAAAATTTTAAGAAAAAATTATTTTCTTAACTAAAATTTAAAGTTTAGAAAAATGTCAAAATTAAGGAAATAAAATTTTCGGTTATTCAATTTAGTTTTTAAGAAAACGATGATTTCTAGCTTCCTGGCCTACTAAAATCACATAAATTCTCGTCTACGACGCTAAAAATGCTAATTATTTTTACTAAAATAAGAAAACAATAATTTTAATAAAAACAAAGAAAAAACAAATTTTTAAAAAATAAATACATTTAACTATTAAATTTAATTTTTTCAACAAAAATTGGCAAGCAAAAATTCACAGTTTTGATTCATTTCTTTAACAGAACAATTAATACTTTCATTTAACCAATTTAATATTTTATCCTTCATTAAATTATTTATAGAACCACGAAATGGCTTAAAAAAATAAATTTTTAAATATTAAAAAAAGAAAATGCCCTAATCCACACTTACTTCAAAAATATATTTTAAAATAGCGGAGTAATTAGTAATGATTTTATGAAAGAAAATGAGGCAGTGGGGTTAGTTTATTAGTTGGAACAACTTAGAAGTGAATGCAACTTGGCAAAATATCTGAAATTATAATTCCTGCCAGGGTGTCAGATGGATGGAAATCTTCGGATATCCTGATCCAGCTCCGATATACGAACCGAAAGTTTCCGAAAATCAAGTCTTTTTTCGGATCCAAATATCCGAATCAAACAACCCTAATTCCTACCCCTCTTTCAAATGATAATCAAAAATGTCATAGAAAACCTAAAAACTAAAAGAATTTAAAATATTGAAATGTCGAAAAAGCTCTTCATATAAGTGAAGGTCTGACTTCTAAATTTAGTAAAATATATCTTTATGGGAATCTATAAGACACCAAAACTATCCAATAAAATTAAAAAATCACCTCAGGTATAATTTCTATAATTTCGTTTAATTTCAAATTATTTTCAATTTGTTGTTTATTAAAGTCAGCAACAAAATTTTTACTTAAAAATAGCCTAATTCGCTTTAAACTTCCACCGATTGGTTGAATGGCACGTGCACGTAAAGAATTTAAGAATGAAGAATTATTTATTGTTTTTTCACTCCTTTTAATGGAATCTGAACTGCTACTGGTAATTAATGGATTGTCAATGCTTTGAAGGTGCTCTGCTAAAAAATATTAAAAAAAATATTTAAAATTAATTTTGATGTTAATGTTGGATAGATTGGATTTTTAAATTTAAAGAAAACCAAAATTTTTACACTTATGTTAGTCCAAATCCGGCCGAATCCAAATAAAATTATCCGACTCGGCTTTAGACTTTTACAGGGTGCGGCAAATTAGCGGCCGCTTTTCTTTTGGCTATAACTTTTTTCATTTTGAATGTAAATCGAAAATTCTTTTTTTGCTGGATTCTTGATACTCTAAGAATTTTTTTGATAGCAAAATCGCCTTTAAATTTTATAAATTAGTCTGATTAATCATCTCTCAAAGTTTAAGCAAAATTTTTTGGATAAAAGCTGGCCTGGATTCAAGGCTATTATTTTGATATAAGAAATTTATATATCATCGAATCAGCTCTCCAATCTGATTCGAATGACGTCAAAATCAGGCCTCTATCTCGTAAATGAACCGAGATATGGCTCACTGAATGATAAATTAAAATAAATTTAGAAAATATAAAACTTTTGAGTTAAATTTTCAAAAATGAGATCATAAGCTATTTCTATGCGCCTTAACGAGACGAGTCGATTGGTACTAAAATCATCGGGATTGAATAATTTTTGACGAAGTTATGATCAATTAAAATTTGGCCAGAAAAAATGTTTTTCGATGCTTTTAAATGTTTGGACCGGCATATCCTTAAAATTTGTGAACAAAATTCCTATTATTTGGTATCAAAAAAATTCTTAGAGTATCAAGAATCCAGCAAAAAAAGAATTTTCGATTTACATTCAAAATGAAAAAAGTTATAGCCAAAAGAAAAGCGGCCGCTAATTTGCCGCACCCTGTAAAAAAGTTTAAATCAAAAGTAAATTTGCTAATAAATGGAAATTTTATCAGTTTTATCTTATGGCAGGATTATTCAATCATCAATTTTATTTCAATGAAAGGAAATTGTCTTGTACTAAAACAGGAAAAATTGACTCTTCCCTATCCCGCGTATAATTTTAAAATGCAGTTTTAAATTTGGAATAGTTCTGACAAAATCCGGATTGTGTAGCCGTGACTAGGGTTGTCGGTTTCAAACCAAACCGAACCGAAAAACCGATGGTTCGGTTTTTCGGTTTTTGGTTCGGTTAACTGAAGAATCTGGCGAAACTGACAACCCCAACCGAAACAGATCAAATTCCCCAGAAAGTATAAATAATCCGATTAGAAAAAACCAGAATTCCAAATCCAAACACTAAATTCAACATTAAACTAAATTAAATTTAAAAAAAATAAAAAACTCCTCACAATTACAAGTATTTTCCAACAATTTACAGGCAACCAAACTCAACCCCAATATTTCAATTACAATCGCCAAATTTTGTATAATTTCAATTTTATTCTTCCAATTATTTTCCACTCCTTTTTCTTCTTCATTTTTCCAAAATTTTTCTAAAAAATTTAAACAATTTGTAAAATTAATTTCCTTCTCTTTTTCTTCATTTAAATTTAATTTTAAAATTAAATTTTTTTCTTCTCTTTTATTATTAAATTGTTTTTGTATATCCAAAGAAATATTTAATAATAATTGAGGTAAATTGAATAATTTAGTTGTTGTTTTAATTAATTTATTTAATAATTTTATATTTATATAATTCTCAAATATTTCTTCATTCTGAAAAAAAATAAAAAATTTAAAGGAAAAATAAGTTAGAATTTAGTGAAGAATTGGAAAAATATCTTTAAAAATTGAAAAAAAATTTTTTTTTAGAAAAATACTGGAATTTGTGTATATTTTTCGTATTTGACAATGAAAAAATAGATATTTGAGGCAATAGCACTTTTTGAGAAAAAAAAAATAATTTCTTTAAAATTTTAAGTATAAGCATTTCAACAGAAATTCTAAAAATTTTGATAAAAAGTCAAAAAAATTTTTTGTCCGCAAAAATTTTGCAAATAAAAATTAAGCATTAGCGAACAAAAAAAGATTTCAAAATTTTTAAAAATATTAATAGAGAATCATTTGCTTATACTAAAAAAAGAAAGAGAATAAAAATAAATTATAAAAAAAAATAACCTCAAAATCTTTTTCTTTATTATTCAAAACAGAATTACATTCAACCATTGCCAATTCTAATTTTGCAATTTTATCTTCCAACAAAATATTTCCAATATTTCCAATCGCCGTTATAATTGCATTTTTTAAATAAAAATAATTTTTCTGAAAAATGAAGAGAAAAATACAAAAAATTAAAAAACAGTCAAACCTCGCCCTTTGGAAATAATC